GAGGAAATTGATTGATTATTTGCCGAAGGTAGTGTGTACTCAAGTAATTAGTTTGTGGTATTTTCCCGACAAGTATCAGATGGACAAAACCGCTGTTAACATGGGCGTCCGCAGAAATGTTCCCGGTTGGTGGGAGTCAAATTCTATGTACGATGGGCCCGTCTTCAAAGTTTTGCCATTATAGTGAAGAGAATAGACAAGCTCCCACAGTAAGGTTTGATGGGTTTAATATTTGTGAGGTTAGTTTAAGCCATACTCCAGACCTGCAGTAATGTATACTCTGCAAGACTGCGTCACTCTAACACAATTCGGACGGGTCGCGAGTTTACTCGTGTTTCGTGCAGAACGTCTTTGTGTGCCATTTATTAAAATTTTGCGTTCGAAAAGTGTCGGACGGTTATTATTTTCAGACTTTTGCTTATAATACCTATATTCTTATAAATGACTTCTCACAGAAAACGAAACGTGTTGAGTGAAGATAAGATAATAACTGAACTATTTGATGATAATTTGTCAGATCTTCCAAGTGAAGGTGGAGATTCTGATGTGGATTCTGTTGTGCTCTCAACTGATTCTGAAACAGAAAGTGATGATGATGATTCTACAAATGTTCCTGTTCTTGATTTGTTTTCCCGTTGTTATAATGATAATTGGTCACAAATAGATATTCCACCGAACTTGGAAATGCTTGAAGGAAATCCAGGAGTCATTATAACTCCATCCGAGCCCGAAAGTATTGCTGCCGTGACAAGTCTAATGTTTGGTGACGACTTGTTTGAAATGTTTTATCAGGAAATGTGTACCTACCATAATCAAACTGCAGAGAAACATAAAATGTCATCTAAAGGACTTCAATGGTCTGAAGTTACACCTACAGACTTGAGGAAATTTCTAGGCTTTCTTCTACTAATGGGACAGACAAGGAAATATAACTGGAAAGATTATTGGTCAACAGATCCTCTTTTGATTAACCCAGTATTTTCGCAGGCAATGATCCGAAACAGATTTGAACATTTTGGCATTTCAATGATAATCAGAAAATGGATAAGTCTTCAGACAGGCTCTTCAAAATTCAACCAGTACTGGATTATTTCCTCGATAAATTCAAGACACTAAACAAATCAAAGCAACAGTTGTCATTGGATGAGGGCATGATTACATGGAGAGTACGTCTAAGATTCTGAACATACAACCCTGTAAAAATCATAAAATATGGTCTGGTGAGAATGATATGTGAGAGTGCTACAGGTTATATTTGTAACATGAGATTTATACTGGTGAGGGGAAAAAATTAGAGGAAACTATTCTTCCAGTTCTTGCTCCCAATCTTGGATCGTGGTGCCACATAAATCAGGACAATTATTACAATAGTACTTCCATTGCAAATCTGTTCCTAGAACATAAAAAAGGAGTCTGTGGAACAATCATAGTGAATAGAAAGTTGTCGCCAAGCCTTGAAGGCTGAAGTTTCAATGATGAAAAATGATGAAACAGCTTTCCATTGAAAAGGTGATGTTCTCGTTTTCATATGGAAAGACAAGAGAGAAGTGAAAATTGTTTCAGCCATCCATGACTCATCTGTTTCTAGACAGGAAAGAAAAATCGAATAACTGGAGAAGAAATAAAAAAACCTGTGTGTGTTATCCAATACAATGCCCACATGAAAGGTGTTGATCGTGCAAATCGGTACCTCTCATACTACACCATTATCAGAAAAACAGTGAAATGGACAAAAAAAGGTAGTACTTTATCTAATAAATAGCGGTCTTTTCAATTCATATATAACCTACAAAGCCCTGAATCAATAGAAAAAAAATATAAGCGGTTCCTCCTCTCTGTGGCAAGAGAATGGATTACTGACAAAGAAAAAGAAGGCTCACTGGAACAAGAGAGGAACGAACCTGGTCCATCATCTGAAGGTACAAGGAGAGCCCCACATAAGGATCTACCAGGAAACTGTCTGGTGATATGAAACAGCATATTCCTTTGTTCATTTCATTTACAGGAAAAAAAATTTCCTACCAGATCCTGCAGAATTTGTACTGCCCATGGGAAAGAAGTGAAATGTGATACATATGCAACTTTTGTGCAGTTCCACTCCATATAGGAAAATGTTTTACAATATACCACACTTCAATAATTTACTAGATGTCTTCATGTACAAACTCTGTAAATTTCAAATAAATAATAAAAAAATATAGTTGAGTTATGAACAAAATAAAACGCGTCCGACTCCTTTCAAGTTCGACGTTTTAATAAATGACACATAAAGATGCTCTGCACGAAACACGAACAAACTGGTAACCTGTCCGCAATGTGTTCATAACCTGCTGCCGGTATTACCGGCACCTGGCAACAGGTTGACCCCAATCACATTGTGTCAATGCTCAGGGGATGTTGGCAAGTCCGCGTCGGCCTCTTTGATGACCTGAAAGAGAATTGCCTTGTCCAATATCTAATATGTCGCCATATTTAGCTACAGGGTAGGTATCTATAGGTTTTAAGTAAAGCTGTTGACACATTTGGCGACTTTTATTAGAATTGAAAATTAAGTGCAATAAGTAGTGTGAAATGAATAAAAACTTGTAAGCTCGTATATATATGCTGAACAAATAAAGAACTAATTATGTTTCTCATTTTCCAGGCAAGAGGGCATGACAGATAACAGCAGGTTTTTATCAAGAAATAAATGAAATAATCTGTAATAGATAACTTAACTGAGTTTCTTTAAATATAAAATAACGAGTCTGGACAAACGTGAATAAATGACTAAAACATTTATTGTAGCAAACAAATAGAAAACACTATGTGTACCTACACAGAAGAAATAACAGTTCTTTCTACTAGGCTATATTTAGCTTTACAGCTTTTTCTCCGTCAAGATTAAGTCTCCGTCAAATTGAAAAAATGTTCTTAAAAGTGATCTTCATTTGATGATCTACTAGTAGAAATTTGGGTAAATAAAAGTACTTGAATTCAACAGGTAAACTCGCTTTCTTTGTCCAGTTGACGACGTCACCTCATGATCTTTGTTCTCTCATAGTATTTGTTATTACATTTGTCATTTACATAATCATTCGGTAAAGAACATTACAGTGTCAATCTTTTTAACCCAAATGCTATATATTTCTGGAATATACTTTCGGGCAGAAAAGAAATCACCTATTATACAAAACAAAGAAACGAAACAATTAGAACAAGGTAATCTTAACGACCTTATGGACTACGTATTACCAACATTACAACATGTAAACTGGAAAACCAAAAATATTTTAAAATATCTGTTTCACTAAAGCAGTAGACAACATATGACATGCCTGCATATCACAAGTTGCAAGTGTCTGTAATTTTAAAGTTTATTCTGTAAAACAGGTTCGCGCCCCCATCTTACCAAAACATGCTCGCCCTTTTAGCCGTTGGGGCGTTATAATGTGATGGTCAATCCCACTATTCGTTGGTAAAAGAGTAGCCCAAGAGTTGGCGGTGGGTGGTGATGACTAGCTGCCTTCCCTCTAGTCTTACACTGCTAAGTTAAGGGATGGTTGGCGTCAGGAAGGGCATCCGGCCGTAAAAACCCCGCCAACACCGAAAATAGCGACCCCGTATAGAGCTACGGAAGAAGAACGGATCATTATCAATAAGAACGGCAGAAGCAACGAGTCTCAGCAGGGCGACAAGTGTTAACAAAATAAATGTAGATATGTTTTTGACAATTTGTCACGTTTGCATGAGAAGTTTAATTTCAGTCCATCAGATATTTATAATTTAGATGAGACGGGGGTAACCACCGTTCAGAAACCGGTCCATATAGTAGCCAAAAAAGGTGTAAAGAAAGTGGGGGCGATAACCTCAGGTGAAAGAGATACACTTGTGACAATTCTTACTGCAGTCAGTGCATTAGGAAACAGTGTTCCTTGTATGTTTATTTTTCCACGCGTCCATTTCAAAGATCGCTTCCTAAACGGGGACCAGCTGGATGTATCGGTGCAGCATATCCTTCAGGTTGGATGACCGAATATAATTTTTCTAAAATTCATGGAACATTTTGTGAAGACAGTCAAATGTTCTAAGGATCATCCTATTGTTCTTCTCCTTGATAACCATGAGTCACATATCAGCTTAGATTGTATGAATTTTTGTGTGAAAAATGGTA